CCCACACAGTGATTATCCAGGTACCTCTGTGCTCAAAATTTGACACAGAAGATGTACTCTTCACAAATCTTTCCTTTCACTTTTCACAAATATATTTCCTGCTTGCAAGAGTGAAATATGGTTTATTACATATCTTTTAACAATCACATGTCAGTTTACTGAAAAATCTCTAATCTGTCATCATTTACTCGCCCTCATGTCGTTCGAAACCCATAAGCCTTTCGTTCATCTTCAAAACACAAATGAAGATCCCTCTTGGAATCTCTTCTCTTCTTTCATGCCGTGTGAAAGCGAGACAACCTGTCACTCACATGAGATCGACCAATACCAAACCACAACAAACCAACCAATTCCTGATAGACTAAATCGAATTTCGATTTACATTATATACATATATCACTCAGATATATGTCAGTGAAGAAAAGACTATCGCAACTTCCGTTTCATTCCAGCAATAAACATACTTGTGTGACATGAAAACAAACTTTTTTGGTTTTCTCACATCAAGCATGCAAATTTGAGCGTTGATGTTTATATGTGACGAACTGAAATCTTTTCATCATATAAAGCGTTCACCCCTGGATTAAACCGCTCAATTTATATAGATTACTTAAACAGCAGAAACAATTTATTGACCAATCAGCATCCATGACCAGATCTATATTCAAAGAATTGTACAATTATTATTAATGATGGATTATTATTATCCTCTAAATCCTAATTTAATGCACTTGATGGAGGGCTCATTCTTGCACAGTCTTCAATATTTTTCAGACTAGCATATTATATTATACCATATTTCCCTCTTCCGTCTCAAAGCATGGTTCAGTTTTTTGAACCAACCTCATTTAGCCTGTTTACAGGTTTACGAATGAGGTTTTAACGCTGCCTTTAACCTTAACAAATCTTTCCCGATATATCTGATTCTAATTTCCACTGTAAAGGAAGCGTGTGGCTGAATTCTGGCGACTGATCTACACATTAGTATGCTGTTGTAGAAGTGACATCGCTTTTTCTCACATATGTGCTGTTACTGAAATTTTTAACACCTTAAAGGGTTAGTTCACCCAAAAATGAAAATGAAGTCATTAATTACTCACCCCCATGCTGTTCCAACCCCGTAAGACCTTCGTTCATCTTCGGAACACAAATAAAGATATTTTTGATTGAATCTGAGAGCTGGATCAGTCCTACATAGACTGCCTAAGGGACTGGCTCTTGACGGCCCATAAAGTCATTAAAGAAAAGGTTTAAACATTCCATGTGCCTACAGCGGCTCAATTATAAGTTTATCAAGCGACGAGACTACTTTTTGTGCGAAAAAAACATAAATAACAACTTTATTCCACTATTCCATTACTTCCTTGTGGGCGCATGCGCGAGAACTGAGACGAGGACGTTCTCATTCGACCACTTCTTGTTACCGGCTCCTCACCGCTTAGGAGTTTTACCGCCCCCTACCGTATAAGATGATGTGCTGATATAGCTGGAAGCGCAAAACTTTCTGTTTACAAGCAGAGGAAGATGCGCGCTGTACATACGCTTTTCAATTAGCGTATTTTCCGCACTATAAGGTGCACTTAAAAGCCTTTAATCTTCTCAAAAAACGACAGTGTTCCTTATAATCCGGAGCGCCTTATATATGGATCATCATTTTATACGGAAGGTGGCGGTAATACTCCTAAGCGGTGAGCAGCCGGTAACAAGAAGTAGACGAATGAGAACGTCCTCGTCTCAATTCTCGCGCATGCGCCCATAAGGAAGTAATGGAATAGTGGAATAAAGTCGTTATTTATGTTTTTTTCGCACAAAAAGTAGTCTCGTCGCTTGATAAACTTATAATTGAGCCGCTGTAGGCACATGGAATATTTAAACCTTTTCTTTAATGACTTTATGGGCCGTCAAGAGCCAGTCCCTTAGGCAGTCTATGTAAGACTGATCCAGCTCTCAGATTCAATCAAAAATATCTTTATTTGTGTTCCGAAGATGAACGAAGGTCTTACGGGGTTGGAACAGCATGGGGGTGAGTAATTAATGACTTAATTTTCATTTTTGGGTGAACTAAAAAAAATTTGCGCTGCACTTGGCAGATTGCATTGGTCATTATGGAGATGATCCGGCTGGATCGGTGTTCAATGTATTTGGAATTGCGCTCAAATGCTAACTTGCCTTATTTTTTTGCAGTGAAATACTACAATAGTAATTTAGGTTTTTTTTTTGCTATTTTTTTGTAGGAATAATAACATTATTATTATGTTGAAGCCACACTGAAATAATCTAATCACAAAATTTTGGCCAAATTGTGCCCTACAAAAAACATGGATTTTGTTTAATTACATTTTAAAGCATTATAGAGCAATTTATTTATTTATTCAGAAAAATCACAACATTTTTAAAATTGGTATTTTTTCCCAAAATCGTGCAGCCCTACAGGTAACAGTCATCTCACAGCAAAAAGGTCCCTTGTTTGAATCCCACCTAGGAGTTTTCATGTTCCCCTTGTTGGGATGGGAACACTTTGGGTGCTCCACTTTGAATGGATGGATGGAAGACAAATTGAGCATGTTGGGAGTCATGTCCAATTGAAGTAGATCACACTACAAAATCCTATTTAAAAAAAGTTATATCACATTGACTTCCTATGGGCTTCCTGTGAACAGTTTGGGATTATGTAATTGGTTCCTTGGTTCAAAAGGGTTTGAGAAACTTAACTTGCTGCTTATGGGCTAAACTACATTGAAAGTTTTGTGTTTTATACTAAGATTTGCTGTAACTTTTCAGGCGAGGCAATGAGCCATCATCCTTCAGCAGTTCAGCGAGGCGCTCTGGAGGCGGTGGCAGACGGGGAATGATTGACAGCTCTGATGCTGCAGAGGATGATGCGGACATGCAGAGTGACTACAACGGAACCAAATCTACTGAATAAATGCCTCTTACCATGCTGTCCAAACATGGTATTCTTATCCTCTTATCAGAGAACCACAATTTTCTTTTCCAAAGGTCATTATTTAGATCATAATTATGTTTCGTTTGACTGCAACAAAGCACTGCTGTTTGACCAGGCATTTGCCCCATACATGATTTAATAGTTTTTTTTGTTATATTATTTACACAACCCCCAATTTTACATTGACCTCTGTGGTTGCAAATATGCTCATGTTCCAGTATAGCACCATGAGACTTATGTATTCTTTTTTCAGGCTCTTTAATTATTCTTAAATGTATGAATGAAACCTGGTGGTCCTAACACCTAGTTTTTGATCTTGGGTAAAAGACCATCTGTATTTTTATGTCTCAAATTTGTGTCTCAACTGCGGGTAAATGGCTGTTCACTGTTTTGTACTGCATAATTGTCCTTGAATATACTGCACTTTCTCATTTATTTGGTATATATCCCTGCAATGCATACAGCTCAGACAAGTTAGACACAAAATTGAATTTTGGATACATTGACTGATTTTTTTCTAACATTAAAATGATCCGCTTTACACATCCTGGATAAAATAAATAAAGGTGTGTGTTGTGCCAGAAGTGTAATTATATATCATGTAACTATTATATTATCATACAGTCAGGTACCTCGGAAAACTAATTTTCTATAGCATTTTATGTTCCCTTTGAATGTTTGCTAGAAGTATTATATATAAAACAAAAGATTTTAACAGACAAATATTGTGGTTTTCGTTATCCTATATGACCCTGAAAGCAACCAAATACCATCCTATCGACAGACAATGCCTGTAAAAGAACTTTTATAAATGTAAACAGTATATAAATTTTATTTTTCCAGTAATTTCACTTGACACAATCTACAGTACATTAGGAATTACATGTCAATGGATTAATTCACTTTTATCTACTTTTATCTATACATTTGTGAAACCACATGCACATGAAATAAATTCTGAAAAAAAAAAAATTCTTGTTTTTTTTGTTTTTACATGTCAAAATGCCATACTTTAACCTTAAAGGACACCATCAAGCCTTAAGTATGATAACCTTTAACTTACTAAAATACGTTCAAAAACTTTGGCTAACGTAATAACGTACTGTTTTAAAATCATTATTTGCAGCTCAAACAGCACTCTCAAAACAATGGGAGTTATTATTAAAGGGATAGTTCACTTTGAAATAATTGATTTATATGTTTTAGCTTACATCAAGGGCATCCAAGATGTAGGTGTCTTTGTTTCCACAGTATTTTCTATTTTGATATTTTTAGGTCAAACCGTTCTTGTCTGTCAGTCATAAAATGCAGGTATATGGGGTCCACCTCAAAGAGCATGCACAGAGAAGTCCAAATTAAACATGATTTATTGACTCGTAAATGTTAGTACACATTGATGGCCTAAGACACGAAACAAACGGTTTGTGTGAGAAAGCAAACAGTATTTATATAGTTTTTACCTCGTGTAACCACAGCCACGACTAAGTGATCTGAGGGCGCGGGCGCTTCGGTCTGCGCGAGGGCGCGGGCGCTTCGGTCTGCGCAAGCGCCGGAAGTGATCTCTCGTGCATGTACGTCACTCACTGTTTGCACAGAGATTTCAGAAGTGTTACCCGAGGAAATTGCAATGGAAGACAATTTCGATATATCAACAGACAAGAGATCACTTCCAGCGCTTTCCGGAGCTTGCGCAGACTGAAACGCCCGTGCCCTCAGATCACTTGGACGTGGCTGTGGTTACAAGATGTAAAAACGATATAAATACTGTTATAAATAACGATATAAAAACTGCTCGTTTCATGTCTTAGGCCATCAATGTGTACTTACATTTACGAGTCATTAAATCATGTTTAATTTGGACTTCTCTGTGCATGCTCTTTGAGGTGGACCCCATAGACCTCCATTATATGACTGACAGACAAGAACGGTTTGACCTAAAAATATCAAAATTGAAAATACTGCGGAAACAAAGACACTTACATCTTGGATGCCCTTGAGGTAAGCTAAAACATATCAAAAATTAATTTCAAAGTGAACTATCATTTGACAAAACACTTGCTGCTGCTTTAACTTCAATGTTTCTCTTGGCCGTTTTTTTGCTGTTCTTGTAAATCAACACATTCATTGAAAAATAGTGGCTTCATCGTTACTAAATACAGACAGTTGTTGCTCAGTCTTCAGATAAATGAATGCACATTCAACTACTTTTTTTGCAATTACATTATAAAACACAACATCTGGCTATGACCTGTACCTCCCTCATTTCCAGTAACCTAGTACTCCTCCTTACGCAACAGAACAGCACGTCTGTCACTGCCATCGAAAAATCAATATTTGTAGCTAAATTCAAATTCTGGGGTAGACCTTTACTCACATCAGAGTACACACATGCTCTGACATACCACACAAACATGTTTATCATGGTGGAATACCACCTGACTGATGCTACATTGCAGAATTTGGAGTGTCCTGCCTTCGGTGTTTCAGCATAAGTACTCATACACTGCATTCTGCATAGCACTACATAGCAAGAAGTAATATTTAGTACTGATAATGACACCTGGAGCACTATGGATTATTACCATGTCCGCAATGTGCATAGTCATTCAAAGCGCAGGTATGTAAACAATAAATGTTCTGTTTAATTATATTCAAATTTCCAGTTATAAATTTGATATAGTATGTTGTTTTCCAAGCACTTTTGATTGCAGTCAGACTAAAGCAATATTTAGTATTTTTTTCCTGTCCAGACTGACTAGATAATGTCTTTGTAGTTCTGCTTTGTTCAGCATGTATCCATCTTATTTTTAAATGCACAGTATACAGCTATGATGTTTTGTGAAACAGCGAGCCCTAGAGCCGCTGTGGTGTACTTGCACTGTCGTAAATAACCGTAACTCCCCTGTTACTGAATAGTCTACTGAACTATGATGGTAATAAGTTAATAATAACTATATGTCAAGTGTTAAAACTACTTTCTAATAATGAAGTTGCCTATCGCGTTTGCTGGCTTATAACGTTTTTTACATGATTGCTACTAAATCAGAGGTAAATAGCCTATAGTGTAGGAGTAATGTATAATCTCATTTTGTGTTTTTTGATTGCAATGTCAGATGACATCAATAAAGTTAAATGTACGTCGCATTATTTCATAACATTGGCCGTTATGATTTCATTAGACATGATTATTACAATTTATCATAATAGTTAGCAAATTGTGCTCAATTACACTATTTACAACCTCTAGGCTTATATCTTAATAATTATGTGAGATATTGACTGTCATCGCTGGAATCAACATCAACAGTGTCAAGATTTAATTGATTCACAATCAACACAATTTCAAGAAAAGTTACAGTCGGGAAGTGCAATGTTAGTCAGCTAAAGTTCGCACAGTACGTACGCGGTAAGAAATCCGAACCAGACACAGGAGTAACGTTATGTGATAAATACACATCACAACACCTGAGTTCAGCTGGCAAACTAGCTCTTGTGGCAAGCTAGGCAATAAAACATAACAAAAAAAAAAAAACTAAGAGAAACCAATGTTTGTTAGGAAGTCTGCTTACAGCTCTGGTAATCGAAAGCTAGCTACAACAATACAACATATTCGTAAACGTGTTTGCGTTCTAAGAGATTTACTTACAAGTCCATCAACAAGATCACCAGGTCAGCATCGTTGTTGCATCCAGTGCTGCTTTTAAGCTCGCGCCAACGAGTGAAAGCCAAGCCTGAGCGAGTGAGTCTGGTTTCTAGCACGGTCCGATTCTCTTTTCCTTTTTCTTGACATTTCTGACCAAGTTTTGTTGGATGCGCGCAAGTGGCTTCATATGTTGTTGTTGATGTGTGTGACGTCGTTGCCGTATAGCATTTCGTGATTCTCGCGAGATTTGTCAGGGGCGCGCTCAAACTTGCTTTGCTGGTTTTTCCGGCCGCTTCCCCCCCAAGCTTTACTACCAGGATGATTCGCTCTACTATGACTTTGTTTACCACCGAAACGACTTTGAAGCTGTTATATTATGGTACAAATCTTGCATAGTGTGCCTTTACCATACTAGAGCAGGCACGGCCATTTTAATTTGAATGTGCAAGGCAAGTCGCTTAAAGTTTTATTATAATTTTAGTTACAGCAGTTCATCTGAGGAACATGGAGAACTTCATCAATGCTGTGACACATTTAGAAGATTTAAACCCAAGACTAAGTCCGCTGGCTTTAATGAAGAGTCTACACAAGATTGCAGACCAAAGTGACAATATCACATATGATTTTCTGGGATCATCTGACAACAGAGATGAAATTCACTACAAAAACAACAGCTTTACAGAGCTCCTCAATATAAACCACAATCTCTCCAATTTCTTCAACCAAGCCATTCATCATTTCATAACAGATGATCACAAAGAGAGGGGAGTTGTTCTGACTCCTGATGGCACGACGATTGCCCTTGCTCCCCTCCTTTTAGGTCTTGAATCTGGGCTACGAGCTAAAGAATACAGTAACCAGCCTCACGGTTTCTTCCTACTCCCACTGGCCAGGAACTTAGGCTTGTCATTTCTGCAGTTTCGGAATACAACTCCACCTGAGCAACTTGGGCCGGATGGTTGTTGGGACAGTGTATCTGCACCTATGGTTTTTACTCTTTCAGGCGTGCCATCATTGGTCACTGATGCTCTGGTCCATGGTGGAATGGACGGAGCCATACTTGGGAAGCACCTTTCTGTTGTTAACAGCACTGAAATAAACTTAAGCACACTACTGAGGAGCTACTACTCAGCGACTATGGAAGAGTTGGATCATGTCTCAGATATTCTTCTGAGAGGTCGCTATCGCAGACATAATTTTAAAAAGATCACAAATTCATCACTGCTTCAAGAGAAGGTAGCACATGCACTAGATACTCATCAACAACATGGGGACATTGGGATGGAAAGTCTTATAGAAAAGGGAATTAAAGAGTTTGTGCTACGTTACATGGGTAAGTGCAGGTACGTCCAGTTGACCAAATAAACTTGGCTGTTTAAACTCTGGTGTTTGGTGACCAAGCTGACAAATGTGTAACCCTCTTTCAGAGTGTCCTGCCATCATTCCTAGATGTATATGGGGAGCAGCGCCGCCCAGGGTTCCTCTCACCCCTCTGTCTCCACCCCTGCAGTATCTGTATATTCACCACACATATATTCCCAGCAAACCCTGTCTAAACCTTCAGACGTGTTCCGCAAATATGAGGGCAATGCAACATTTCCACCAGAAGGAACGGGGTTGGTACGACTTAGGCTACAGGTACCATCTGCTTCAGCAAGATTCTGTCAAATGTGCTCCATTCCCAAACCTATACTGCCTACAAAGGTGGGCAGTCCAGTGTGAAAGCTGTTCCAAATGATTCTTTGTGAGAAAACAATCCCAGAATACATTGCTATGACGTAACTTCTTTGATAATATTAAGTGTGTCTCACACTCTGGCAGCGTAGACCACATACAGTTGGAACAGAGGGACAGGTAACACCTTAAATAACATCAATGCACATTTTTGCTCCACACTTGCATGATAGTTTTCCACGATCGAAGAGGATCCTAATATATATGTGTGGAGCAAAAAATCACGGGTAAGAAGTGATGCACACACATGTTAAAGGGTTAGTTCACCCAAAAATGAAAATTAAGTCATTAATTACTCACCCCCATGCTGTACCATACGATTTCCACGACGCATGCGCGAGAACTGAACTGAAGTAGTTGAAGGAGATCGCAATTCTCGCGCATGCGTCGTGGAAAACGTATTGAAGTCTCGTTTCAGGCCAACAAGGAAGAAAAGGAATAGTCGAATAAAGTCGTTATTTTTGTTTGTTTTTTCGCACAAAAAGTATTCTCGTCGCTTGATAAACTTATAGTTGAGCCACTGTAGTCACATGGAATATTTAAACATTTTCTTCATTGACTTTCTGGGCCATCAAGTGTCATTCCCTTAGGAGCCTATGTGGTAGTTATACAGCTCTCAAATTTAATCAAAAATATCTTCATTTGTGTTCCGAAGATGAACGAAGGTCTTACGGGATTGGTACAGCATGGGGTGAGTAATTAATGACTTAATTTTCATTTTTGGGTGAACTAACCCTTTAAGGTGTTTCAACTGTCCCTCTGTTCCAACTGTATCCAGTCTACCCTACTTTTATTAAATAAGTAATTATTTTGCGACATTTAAAAAAAGTATGTTCTATATAGTATGAATGTGTGTGAGGTATGCGTGGTAATCGAGACGCCTACTACATTTGTCATTTTGCCCTTGACATATTTAGAAATCCCATATCCCACAAATCCCACATTCAACTCATTTACATACAGTTTTATGCGCACTGCATATTCAGATCCAATAATAAACCCAGAACAGCGGATAAGCGATCCATTTCATTCAGTACTGGAAAGTCTTAATCCGAAATAGTTTAGTGCATTTAAATATATCAATTGAATAATTTTTTTTTTTAGCAATGTTAGCTTAGCAACATACTAATGCTAATTGCTCCTTAAAGCTACACTGTGTGATATTTACCCCCATCTAGTGGTGAAAAGGTATATGGCCATCCAGTGAATATTAGTTTCTGTTCCTCTCAGTTCCGATTTCGTTTTAACTCCTACGGTGGCCAGTGTAGTCCAAGATTAACATGGCTTCCAGTTCGACCTCGTCCATGAGTGTTAACTCAAACGTAAACGTGAAAGGCGAAGCTTGAATTAATGGGTATGTCCCTCTTTGGCTAATGTACTTTCAAGACGGAGGGGCAACATGGCGACCGACATTAGAACCCCTTACCCGTATGTATTTTCAATGGCATAATATAGACTCACGAGAATACTTTATTACTTGAACGAAGTAAATATACATTAATATTTTTGAAAGAACTAAGTGTTTTTAGCTAAGAATAACCTAAAAGAGTTACACAGTGTAGCTTTAAGTGAGGAGTGATTTTAGAATGATGGCAGAGTTTCTGGCTATGTCATTTCAAAAAAGTTTCAAAAGTTACATTTAAAGGGGAAGTTCAACCAAAAAATGTATTTACTCACCCTCATGTTGTTCTAAACCCATAAGACTATTGTTCATCTTTGGAACACAAATAAAGATCTATTTGCTTTAATCTGAGAGCTTTCTGTCCCTCCATTGATAGCTACGCAAGTACCACTTTGATGCTTCAAAAAGTTAGGAAAACTAACAGATCAAAAAGATCTTCATTTGTGTTCCGAAGATGAACGAAAGTCTTACGGGTTTGGAACGACAATTTTCATTTTTGGGTGAACTCCCTTTAAGATCAGAGGCTACCTTAGCCAGCAACTGGTCTTGGAACAGCTATAATGTTTATATAATGTCAAATACTTAAAAGTGGTAAAAGATCACATTCTGTGTTATTTATCTATGTGTTTCTCCAAGCTTTGTGGTTGGGTCTGATGGTTTCATCTACGAAGGTCGAGGTTGGACGTGGGCAGGAGCTCATACTAAGGGGCGTAATACTGTTGGGTATGGTGTTGCTTTCATTGGGAGCTACAGCACTCATTTACCCTACCGTTATGATATGGAGCTTGTGCACCATCATCTGGTCAAATGTGGAGTGAGCAAAGGATTCCTCCAGGAGAATTACACCATTCTGGGACATAGACAAGTAGTAGCCACTGACTGCCCAGGAGATTCCCTGTATTCTGAGATAACCACCTGGGAACACTATAAAGTATGTATGATTCTGTACTCAAAATGTAGCCGGAAATATTTGTCATGCTATCTAACACGTCAATATGTGTCTGTACTAATTTTTCACAGGATACGGATCCTTTAAAGTAACAGTGTGGACATCTGCTGTCACTGACATGAAATGACTCGAAAACCCACTCATTTTAATGAAAAATACATATAATTTAAAATATAATGTCAAAGTTAAAAGGATGACTGAAATGTAAGGTTATCTGCATAAAACGTGACATTAGCATTAGTTTGCACATCGGTTGGGAGTCAAAAAGCTTAAAATGCCATGTAAGTGAGAATGATGTGTGCAATAATAAAGAGCGTGATCTCTGTTACATGTTGAATTTTGTATGTGGCAGTTTAAATTCAAGAAAAGGTTGAGAAGATTACTTAGTCTTTACCACGAGAGGAAGTGGTTTTCATAGCAGGACCCATAGTGAGACAGGAAGTGCTGCTGTTGTGACAGGAAATTTAACCGTCACTGAACAAAACAAGCAGGTATTTCGATTAAACGACCAATCTTGTTCATATTTAATCAATAAAATGTAATCTTGATTATGTAACGCTAGAATAATTGTATTTTTACCAGTCACAGTCATACAATTTCAAGATGTATATAGGCCTATAATAAGAACAAAACAAGATCACATGACAGATTATGCTTTCTTAGATTTTCATAAATAAGAAGGACGTGGAATAGAACATATACTTGTTAGGTCAGCCTGGGAAACATCCTAATCTCTTAGTCTTTCTTTAACCTGTGAACATAACCTGATTTCCCCACCCACAAACTGACTGGCTTCCTGAATGCAGGAGGACAAGTACGCACTGAAAAAAAAGACTTAAACCTACAAGAGCTGGGGACCACAAAGGGCTGCATCATTTAAAACAACGAGCACCAATTTATCAAAGCCAAAAAAATATTTATGGACCATATACTGTGAGTATAAGAGTTAACCCTTCAAAAAGACCTTAGTGAACAGACAGAATTTTGAAATTGATGATGCACAAAACAATCTGAGGAAGTGGCCAATAGGTGAAGTGAGTAGATAATGAGATCCGGAGCACTCGAATTTGAGGAAGATACAACACGTTTAAAAAAACCCATCTAAAACTGGTAAGTGCTGAGGAAACCATACACTTTGAGGTGCGACAAGACTTTTTGCATTTCACACAAAACATAAGAGTTCACAAAACTGGGTCACAGAGAAGAAATCTAGATGGGTACGAACAAAGAACCGTGTGTTGAGCAGTCAGAACCACAGATTGAGGAGAACATGGAACTGTCTTCTGAACAAAACAGCCCGGTTGATCAAGACCCGCGGCAACCAGAGGATGGCAAGCTACTCAACACGTACAAGTGGCACACGGGAGCCAAGACTGAGACGCCGGCACAGGGGGCTATCGAGAGGCTGGAGAAAGGGGCTTCGAACAAATGGAATAAAATGCAGAGTTGGCGCAAAGCTCTGAGTGAAGATGCCGGGGAAAAGAGCTCGACTGCAGCTCGAGGGGCCGAAAGCCCCTCCAAACCAGACAAGCCGGCAACTTCAAGGAAAAACCCTTTCCGCAGAGCTCTTTCAGAGCCACCAGGGTCCCTCCTATCTTCGGTCCTGTCCTCCTCTTCAACATCTGGGTCCTCCAATGCACAGGCATCAGGGACAACCCTCCAGGACATGACACAGAAGGGGAAAATTCGAAAGTACCTGCAAACGGTCTCACAGAAGTTTAAGAGACCGCGTTTACAGAGTACTCAAATTGCAGAGCATGGTAAGAGCTTTATATTCAATCAATGCTAAATGTTCTGAAAACATAAGCTTATAAAGTTGAATCTGTTAAATGATATGAGGGTTTTTGTAGAGTTCTTAGAAAGACAACTTCTGTTGGACAGTGTTAATTTACTTTCTAACCCTGTAAAGGATTGTACATGAAGATGCCACTAAATGGCGCTAAATAATGAGGGTGCAACAACAGGATGTGCAAGATGGAGATGGAACAATAGACTACAAATTAACTAACACAGAAGCTCTTAACAAGAAACTGTTTTCCTCCTTTGTACCCAAAGGATAATGACCTAAACATAATTGGATGTTAATGGGATTACTTATGATGGCTGGCGTTATTTTAACTAATTAAGTCATGGTGATGTTGGAACTGGATTACAATGTCATAGCATGTTTTGTCTTTAAAGCTTTTAGGCCATTTTAATTGAAATATTTCTTGTTTACATTTTATGAAAAGACAAAGAGCCTGAAAATGTGGTCCAAGAGCCTGTTCGGCTCTCCTGGGCCCCCCCACAAGACGTTCCAGTTTGGGACATAAGCAACTGTTTTCTTCAAGATGGACAGATTTTTATCCCACGCGAGGAGGAGGTAAAGGACTACAGACACATTCAATGATGCCAACAGATGAGACGTTATTCAGATTAAGATATTGGATGTACTGTATGCCCTTAAAGTGACTTTGATGTGCGAGTCCAGTTTGTTTGGAAGCGCTATTCGAATTAAGGTGAACTTGGTGCCTATATATCAATATATCTTTTGGATTTATTTCAGCCTTTGATGAGGGTACGGAACCGGGCCAGCAGTTGTCTCTCCAGTGTCAGTCTCCAGAACATCAGTGGAAGTCACACTGGTCAGTATCACAGAGTTACACTTAAAGCTACACTGTGTAACTCTTTTAGCTAAAAACACTTCTTTCAAAAATCTATGTGCTCATTAACGTATATGTACTTCGTTCAAGTAATAAAGTATTCTCGTGAGTGTATAATATGCCACTGAAAATACATACGGGTAAGGGGTTCTAATGTCGGTCGCCATGTTGACCCTCCATCTTGAAAGTACATTAGCCAAAGAGGGACATACCCGTTAATTCAAGCTTCGCCTTTCGCGTTTACGTTTGAGTTAACACTCATGGACGAGGTCGAACTGGAAGCCATGTTAATCTTGGACTACATTGGCCACCTTAGGAGTTAAAACGAAATCGGAATTGAGAGGAACAGAAACTAATATTCACTGGATGGTCATTTACCTTTTCACCGCTAGATGGGGGTAAAAATGACAGTGTAGCTTTAAAGGGTACATATCATGCTTTTAAATTATTCATTTTACATATAAATCACACCGTTGTGGTCTATAGACGAATCCGACGAGCGTTCTGTGTAGGCTGCCATCTTGTGGCGACGCCATTACTGAGCTGTTACACAGGCATATAGACATATGCACCGGTATGTAAACAAACCTCGGTGATAATGCGAACTCACCCTCGATGACAGCTTCAGCCAGGCAGAATGACTTGTTGGTTTGATCTGTGACTGCAGTGGCCTCCAGTCACAGATGAAGGTACAAACGATCTTACAGATTAACGTTATTTATGAAAATAGCTTGGCAAGCTAGCTAGGCTAACGTTTGCTAACGAGGAAACTATAAAAAGATCTGTCCATTTGGCAACAATAAATAAATAAATGAATGAAATCAAATAAACAAATTCATGTTTTTCATTTGTGTCCATTATTTATCTCATTTTCACATTGCAACAGGCAAGGGTAAGGCAACGTTACAGCTAGAAAGTATACATAACATCGACCAATTAGTGTTTTTAAACCATGGAAAGAGGTCAATATAACACCAGGAAAACAATTATGTCACATAACGTTACATTTAGCTCAGGAAAGCCATTTAATGACCATAGCATGTTAATTGAATAGAAAAAATAGCAAGAGAGGAGATTTTGCTGATCACTATATCACATATTTATTATATTTTTTTTACTTATGTCATTAAATAATTGTTATTATACGCGAATGTCCACGTCTTGTTCTCGCCCAGGAAATCTGTAAACCGTACAGGCACCAGACAGGGGCACTCGACCCGGGGTATTCACAGTGTTTTCTCTTCAAAATTGAAATTTTACTGCCACCATTGAAACAATTTATAACGGAAACTGTTTACCCACTCAACATTATACAAGGGATAACGTTGTAACGTTAGTGACAGTCGTAAATCGCGGGCTGTTTATTCCAGTGGAGGCAAGTTGCAACTAAAACAATAGGAGGCAATGGCGCAACGCTACCCAGCAACAGCTCAGTAATGGCGCCCCGCTTACTTCCGGTAGTTTCGCCGGATTCGTCTATATAAAACATAACTGCAATGCTTGGGTCTGAATTCCTCATTATTATAGCTCCACAGGCCCCTTTTCTACCCCTTTTCTGATGTGCGTCTTTGAGCGACCCGTTTCAATGCGTCCCCTTTAAATAAAAAGGAGATGCGTCACACCCCGCCCGCTCTCCAGGTCGATGAGTTCACGGTCAGTTCAACTCCCCACGTTCGGCCATTATTGTAGTTTGATTGGAGATATACGATTATACGAAACCTTCAAAGAACATTTTTATTTACACGTTAATAAAATGTCAACAACAGAAGACTTGTCCATCAAGCCTTACATATTCCAGCCAGAGCGAGCGAGTTGATAAAGACGACGACGAACCTGCAGAACATAACAACCTCTTCATGTATTGGTATGCGAGTTAACTGTTTTGTGTTATTAGTGAAAGTCAACTATTTCTCTTGTTAAAACAAGCACACTGACAAGATAAATGACTACGGTCTAATCTTACCACAAAAAAAATCTGTATTGACAATATGATACGTTTAGAAAAGCATCAGAAAACAACGCAGCTAACGCAAATGACCATTGATGAAACTCGAGAACAATAATACTGCATACGTGTAACGTTACTTCAAAACAAAAACAAAGAAAGACAAAGGTACTGCTAAACCATGACCACCATGTGTTTTAAGAAAGTAAAGTACTTTATTTTTATTAACGATATTTACAGCTTATCGAAATGCTCTGTTCGTCGTCTCCAAAGATAGAAGGAATTTACCTCTCATTCAGACGAAGTCAATCGGCAAACCCTTCTTTATACTGGCGGAGGTTGTTGAAGTGGGAATCCTTGAAGTGCTTCAGCAGGTCACTAACGTACATCCAACAACCGAACATTTTGACTTGCCCTCTCGTAACTTCTACATAATTGAGCTCGGACTACAAAATCTGAGCGAGAAATAATAATGGCGGATTGCTCGAAGTGTTGGACCGGTAGTCAATGTCCTTATTTGGCAGTTCCGCTGCAAATACGGTGACGCACTTGCTCAAAAAACATCATAGACAACAGAAAAATCTGAACTGGTTGAAAAATATGACCAAAACAGAATATAAAGATATAAACGAATCACCTGAAGAGAATAATTTCATCTTTTCTGTACTTCTAACCCAGATAGCAAACTGACATTGAATCAACGTGGAAACGACGTCTCTCATGACATTGAAACAACGTTGATTTGCTCATCGAATTAACGTTGAACCAACGTCAGACGCGGCATTCTTCAAAGCTAAATGAAATCGAAAATTGGTTTGCTTTCATAACGTTGAAACAACGCGTTGATTTCAAGTTGATTTTCCGTTAGTTTTTAAAGAATGACGCATCTGACGTTGGTTCAACGTTAATTCGATGAGCAAAACAATGTCAGATCAACGTTGTTTCGATGTCATATTTCCACGTTGATTCAATGTCAGTCTGCTATCTGGGAAACACTCCAAATATACAACAAAATGCATTTAAGGGCTAAAAAAGTGGATTTTGCATGATATGTCCCCTTTAAATCAATCATTTAAAAATGTATGAATGTCATTGCATTAGATTCAACATAGTATCTTTTCTCAGAACCTCCATTTCTGATCAAATTTTAATTTTAACCGACTGGTCTCAAGGTCATTTTAGAGGTTGTCCTCAAATAAATTTATAACAGTAGGCCTATATATTTTTAAATGTAGGCCTATCTATTGATATTATTTCAATCACTATATCTTTCATATAACATATAGTTAGTGTGAAAAAAAGGTTCAAATACCACTATTTAAGCAATAACAACAAAGAAGTGCATTACTGTATTACTTGTGAAGATCATTGTTGGGACTGCAGTACACTTAATTGAAGTACAGTCTAAAGTTCTCTGTGCCCATTACCACTTAAAAGCTGGAGATGAGTTTAAGAGATGAGAGGTATCATCTGTCCCTATTTAGCCCATGGCTGCCTGTCAGCGACTAAAGTGAAGCAAGATATTCACAAAGGAAATGGTTGACGTGGTTATGTTTGCGTGTGCTTGTAAAATTGCTTCCTTTGAGTTTCTGAAGATAGCATCAAAACTGGGTGTTCCATACCAGATGATGACTGAGACTATCTAGCACTCAACATAATCATGCAGGACCCTCATAACTGGTTAAATGTAAAAAAAAAAAAAAAAATCACACATTTATGAGTATTGCGTTCTGAAAGGAAAATTGATTCTAAGCTACTCCCAAGCATGGGTTTCAGGCGTTGGATTGTATGTGGAGGGGCACTAGGTAAGAACGAAATTTTGCCTTCTTAAATGAATAAATCGAATTATTTTGCTGGAGAGAATAATGCATGTGAAAAACAATCAGCATTAGAACAAATTTAAGGAGACAGCAGAATGCAGTTGAGTTTAAATTGGTCTTCATTTTCATTTAATTCAGTTGTTTAGCAAAGCACATATATATATAATGATTACTGCTTTTAAATAGAATAGTTTATTAAATTGAATGTGTTAAGCTGTTACTACATGAAGAGAGTCGACACGATTATTAAGCGGCACCTGACCTTAGACCTTGATTTATATATATATATATATATATATATATATATATATATATATACATCTTTATCTGTATTTACTGGAAAGAAGAAAATAACATTTTTGAGCTTCCATAAATATCTAGTAGAATTTAGATCTGGTCATTTAGAGGAACATATAAGTCATCTACCTTCTAAATTTTGACACTGTGTATATTGTGATGGTATTTAGAAGCATAAGCCAAATCTGGTTCTGTTAAAGTTTTATATTCCATGCACGTCATACGACCTACAGACACCTAAAAGCCTGTTGAAGGCATCCTTCTCCCGAATTTAATACCGACTGTATGTGTTGTAATTTTTAAGGTTGCACTTTGTCCTTTTTCCTAAGTTACTTTGTGTTGCTTTGAAAATTCATCTCAACATGCAAACTGTCAGACTTCTTTTACATAGCAGACACAAAATGTTTATAGACTCATTCATTTTCACAGTGGCTGCTTTTTAATTGTGATTTATTTAAAGCATGTAAAGTTAACCCCTGACCCCCGTAATCGTGTATGTCCAAAAATTGGGACCACATCCTGTGCATTATACTGCTCGTCTGGTCTCCAGCCTCCATAAAGGCGCATGGATGATCAAATAATAGTCAATTTTTGAAATAAGCCCTAGATTTCTGTTCTGTTCCACATTAACCGAATTCAACTAACAAAGTTGCATTTTCTGTTAAACTAGAAATTATTGATCTGATGCACATAAGAAGGAAGGAAATGATATGCTTCCTGTCATGGTTTCAGAATCTGCGATTGCACTGAGATTATCTGTCTTTCTGAAAGTAATTTAGTACTAGACTGAAATAAACAGAAAGGCATACAGTACATGCACAAGATCTAATATAGCATTTATCTTTCTCTCTTTAGAGCTAAATCCAGATCCTGTGGTACCCCAAAGTGGTACCAAAGTAAAAGGGCAAGATGGAGGCGTCAGAGTGAGTATACATTAGCATTTCTAAGAAATATGTACCATCTGAAACTGTTGCTGAACAAAATGCATGCATAAATATATTGATTTTTTCCATGCCGCTTCTTTTTTTTCATTCTCATGCTAGAACTTAATCAAGCGCCGCTTACAGGGTGATGATAAACGGAAAAGCAGCACACAGATCAATACTGCAGGACTAAGTGGTGCTGGAAGGTGGAGAATAATTTAAATAATACAGAAAAATACGGATTTTTCCCAAATTCACTCTGTAGTAATGTCTAATGTCAATGGGAACAAACATATTATGTGATGGTTTGATATCCTATGCCATTTACCAGTCTTTCACACTTTCTATCAAGGTACGGTTCCAGAGAATCTTTATCCATTCCAGTCAGTGCTGCAAAAAGCCTGGATCTGAATGCAGACCAGACCACCGTCATCAGGCCAGTCCACAGCTCTATTCTAGGGGAAAAGTACTGTTTTCAGGTAGGCTTTGCTTTTGAATAATGAAGTGTAAACCATGTTTAAATTTTCAAATCGTTATGTCTATACACAATCCAAACAAATTACTCGTTTTCTGTGTGTATTTTCTCGTCCAACTCGCAAAAGGTCATAAACTCAGAGAATAACCACTGCTTTGGGTGCAGTTCAGCTGCAGAAAGAGACCGCTGGATTGAGGACTTACGTCGTACTGCACATCCAAATAAGGTACCACATATTCTTCCATAGTCCATCCAAATTTGGCATTATTTGTTATTCTAACAGTATTTGTTAGAAATAATGAAAATGGTTTTACTGTCTTATACCTTCTTGTTCTTTCAGGACAACTGTGAGCGTACTGAGAACTCCCTGAGCCTTTGGGTTAATGAAGCAAAAGACCTTCCCCCAAAGAAGCGGTATTACTGTGAGGTCCACCTTGATGGTACACTGTTTGCTCGTACCAGTAGCCGGGCCGTTGGGAAGTCCGTCCAACGCTCCAGTCAAGCAGTTGACGGAGGATCTGGTGCAGCTGGTACAGGTCATGGTGGTGGTGTTGCAGGAGGTTGCCAGATATTCTGGGGCGAATTTTTTGAACTTGACAACTTGCCCCCAGTCACCCAGATCACCCTGCACCTCTTTAGAGAAGAAGACTCCAAGAAAAAGCGCCATTCCAAGGATGACTCCATGCTGCATCCTCTAGGAAGTGTGGCTCTTGCTCTAGCAGACATAAAAGGACGGGCCTTTCAAGAGAAGTGGTACCCCATCGTTCCCTACAAGCCCCCAGGAACAAGTACAGCAAAGGACCAACTTGGACTTCAGGCTTCACTTCGAGTCAAGGCCAAATTTAAGAACCTGAAAATTCTGCCTATTGAGAGGTACAAGGAATTTGCTGAATATGTCACAGTGGATTATGTGGGTATGTGCAGTAGCCTGGAACCTCTTCTCAATGTACGGGAGAAAGAAGAACTGGCAGGAGCACTTGTTCATGTGCTCCAGAGCATTGGGAAAGCTAAGGTGAGTTGCAACAGCAGTAATTGTTGGACAAGACAGATAAGCGTTTTCAAATATCTGAATGGTTTTTGTTTGTGCAGGAGTTCTTGATTGATCTTGGTAGTGCAGAAGTTCAGCGCTTGGGAGACAATGAGGCTTTGATTTTCAGAGAGAACACACTGGCCACAAAGGCTATTGATGAATATATGAAACTAGTGGGCCAGAAGTATCTCATAGACACACTTGGTAAGGAATATTCTACTGCATCCCTTCTTATAAAACTCCATGTGTCATTTTATTGACCTCTAATCCCCTATGTAACAATCTTCCCACATAGGCGACTTTATATCCAGACTGTATAGTGGAGGGGAGAGCTGCGAGGTAGACCCACAAAAATGCTCTTCCTCTGATCTACCAATCAACCAGAGACATCTAAAGGAGATGTGTGGGGATGTTGTGAAGAGAATCACAGACATGCATGAGTAAGATAAACCTAAAAGAACACACTCTACAAAAATATATTTAAAAATGTATTTGTTAGCGTAAGTATTTTATGCTGTAATAATAACAGTAAATAGATGTACTTTGTCCGCTTAATCTAAAATAAATTGTCAGAAATCTTCCAATGGATAATTATTTTTAAATGATCCATTCTTTCCTTTCTATAAACAGGTCATTCCCTGCAGAGCTGAATGAAATTTTTTCCAGTTGGGTCTCAGATTGTGAGGATCGAATGGACATCGGACACCGTCTCATATCAGCATCTCTGTTTCTTCGATTCTTATGCCCAGCAATCCTCAGTCCATCACTCTTCGGTCTTACCCAACCCTATCCGGAGACAAACACCCTTCGCACTCTTACTTTGACAGCCAAGGTCATTCAAAACCTTGCAAACTGCACCTTGTGAGTCCCATCTCTAAAGCCAAATTTATTAGCATCTTCCTGTTAACTTACATCAGGTCTTGGATTACACTTGGAAATGGCGATTTTGAATGATTTGTTTCATATATGATCAACAAGAACCATTTTCTCTCAATATCCACCAGGTTTGGCGAAAAGGAAGAGTACATGTTTTTTATGAATGAATTTCTAGAACAACACTGGGAGCCTATGCGAGGATTCTTACAGAAAGTATCTGATCCAGACAGTGAAATGGCCATGGCTCGATTTGATGGCTATGTAGACCTGCCCCTTCGTCTAGCGGTCCTTCACAACCTCCTGGTGGATATTATCTCTGTAATGAAACAGGTAACAAAACATCAGGTCTCATTTAAACCTTTGCTGTAATCTTTGTTCAGAAGACTATGGGATTACTGACTTTTGCATCTCATAAAACATCTCAAATATATTTGTAGGACCAAATAGACAACCTACAACCCTTGCCTTCAATCCTGAACCAGATCACAGAATTCCTTGATCATGATGTTCAACAGATCCCTGTTAACAGGTACGGTTATTTTACAATGGGTGTATCAATCAGCTCCCCAGTATCAGGGCACTGATCAGGGAGTTGGCCATTTGAAGGGCTGTCGCATTGCTTCACTGAAACGTTCACTCTCTAAAATGTCCCACACTGCACCACTTGATATATTGATTCACAACCTTGGGAGCTGACTGAGACACCCAAAATAAACAAAATTCGCCTGGTAGGGGTGTCCAACTCTGTTCCAGCTGAGTTTAAATACTCTGAACCAGCTATCCAAAGTCTTCAGATTCACCAGAAGTGTGTCCATGCAAGTGTGTTGGAGCTGGTTGGAGCTAAACTCTACAGGACATTGGCCCTCCAAGAGCCGGATTGGACACCGGCAAGGCTTAATAGAAGCTGTATCAAGCTTTAAAATCAATGTTTGTTTAAAAGTACTTTTACTTACAGCAGTCATGGAACACCAAAGCCTGTATACTTACCTCCAAGGGATCTCCCCAAGTACAGTCCATTGCAAACCTCCATGCAGCAGCTTCCTGTAGACTCAAAATTCAACCAAGTCAAAGAACGTCAGCGGAAGCAGGTGCAGCGGGCTTACAGTGTCCCCAACAGACCATCCCGGCAGAAGAGCCAACCAGTTAAGCGGCAAGCAAGCAATGAAGAGCTACCTACGCAGTGCCCGGACCAAGCTCCCAGTTTGGAAATTACATTGCCCAGCAATGTAAGTAAGATTGGTTAAAATTTACCAGACATTTTGCCAATGATTTGCTATCAAATAAATGTATATGTGTATTTTCTGTTTGTGTGTAGTCCATGAAACCCAATACCGGACCAGCAAGAGTTTTTTGGGAAATCAAAGATGGCAATGAGTCCCATCAAAAAACAGGGCAAGAGCAAGAGGACACAAGCACATTAGATAGGGTGGGTCTACTCTGCATACTCTAGAAGCAATAGGTTTGGGCCATCAAGTGTATTTGAATGCATGAACAAAGAACGTTTGACCTCTACTTTGATGTTTATCAGAAATTACTTTGAGGAAATTATGTAATAAAAAGCCACAGAATATTGACGAAGTTGTGTGGTGTGCCATAGCATGCGCAAGAGTTGGCTGAGCTGCGTTTAGGAGTGGAGCAGGTGACAGAGCGCGAGCTGGAGATGGCCAAGCGATTAGAAGACTTCATAGCCCTGAGCCAAGACCAGAATACACAGCTACAGGCAGAGGTTCAGGACCTCCGTAATCTGTTAGCCATCCGTGAGGAACAGCTGGCCAGTGCAGCTTTCAGGTAATTTGGGCTTAAAATAAGTACAAATTTGTTCATTTGTAAATGCAAATAGGACAACTGAGATGTTTGTACTTATGTTTGTGTAGACTGGGCGTCATAGAAGAGGAAAGGGAGGAAGACGAAAGAAAGCTGAATGTCGCTGTGGCTGCAGTTGAACGCATGAATGTTTTGGTAAGTAAAGGTTTTCTCCCCTTTCTAGTTTTACAAATGCACATCATTAATTCAGGCTTGTACTTATGTTATGGTTAAGTTAACACTTGCATTTGTGTGTCTGATAACAGGAGGAGCAGTTTGCTGGGTTGTTGAAAGATGTGCACCAACTCTATGCAGTTAACGCTGATGGCATAAGACAGACGTACATAACATAGAATGTACTGGTTGATGCCCCTTTGCATTGCTAGTAGCCTTTGTCAGATTTCTTTCATTCATTGGTAACAATACGCTTACATTGCTACCGACTTGTAACAAATAAACCAAATATTGTTATCACTGCAATAATGAAAAATTAACTGCAATCACTGCAAATTTAAAAAAAAAAATGGGACACCTATTTGTGCATTTAATCTTTAGTCCTGATCTTCTAGTTTAACATTAAGTATCTGCATGAGACTTTTATCAACTGTTTTGTAGACAATCCACAAATAAAATGTGAATTAACCAAACCAAGCTGAATCTTCGCTGTTATTCTTTTGACTGTAATTGTTGTAAAAAGTAACTGCAATTAGGCCAACTCAAAGATACTGGATACCCTCAAATTTGCAAGTGACGCCTTGTTAAAGCAATATTCTGGGTTCTGCACAAGATCAATCAAAGTGTTAAGCAAAATGACTGTCACTGCAGCTGCTTCTCAATCCAGAAGAAGGGATCCTGGAAAGTCTTGGTGAGAATACTGAGTGTTACAGTACAGTAGTAACATTACACTACAATGTCCAATTTCCACCATTTATTTAATCATAATCAAGCATTATGTTTTGTCAGTTCCACTACAGACTCACAGTATAACTGTTGGTGATCATAATCATCTTGCGTATAGCCCTTTTAAGTGCAAGTGAATGTATATGTTTGCTTTTTAGAAACAAGACTCCAAGAGTTAAGCGACACAATAACTGCAGGTCAGGTTCCGGAGGTAACAGACAGAATGGTTTCTGCTTGGGTACAAAGGCAGCTTCTCACAGATTTGAGAATGAAAACTGATAGGCCTATCCTTTTTGATGCAAAGCTCTAAGCCGAGAGAGTATTCATCCAAAATTGTCGCAGATGCTGCGCTGTAGAAGCTGTGATTAGGTGCGAGAAGCTTGCTACGATTAGCTATACTTTGTACAAAATACTATTGTAAAGTATAATGTATTTTCAAAGTATACTTTTAATGCATTGTTACAATGATAATTTCAGCACACAGTTAAAATATACCTCAATATATTTTAATAAGTGCAAATAAATACACTTAAATGCACAGAATTTGTACTTAAAGTATTTTTTAGAATATATTTTAGATTAGAAATTATTTTAAAGTGTGTTAAAATATGTATTGTGAAAATAGGTAAAAACAAGAGGCTAATAAGATAGGCTTACTCTCCCCTAGTGAAAAACTTTTATTTAGGTTACTTCTAATATTTTGGAGGCAACCAATCAATGACAGAAAAATTAAACACACAAATTTGTTTTCCGCCAAAAATATCACTAAACGTAGTCACATAACGTTACGTTACATGACAGATTATTCTAAAAGGCACGATATCCTCTTAGTGTTGGTGTGTAGGCGCTCACCTGCAGTTTACCCTCACGGGTTTTACCTCTTTGTCTTTGTGTGACATTAAATTTCACATTTAACAATATAATCATATAAAATGAATGTATCTACAGTACATTCGTTCTGATTTTTTTAATGGAAAGCGCATAATATTTAGTTCTGAATAGCAACAACGCTTCTGTGATTCGTCCATGTAATGTTTACTAAATGAGGGATCGATTGATTTTGCCTAGCTCGATTGTGCTGTAGTGATTAAAGTGCCTGCCTGCTCTCTCTTGTTCCTGTAAGAGAAACCTCGCCACTTTAAGGTAATTTTAACCATTATCTGCTTCAACATTTTGTTTTCAATATAGTTAGCTACGTTTAGCCGAATAGGTCAGAGGCTGTGGCTTTGCACACTATAAAAATGTGTTTCGACTTGCAGTCCCTGATCAATAATCAGCTCGTGCTAGCTGCATGTGCGCGTGTATTGTGTTAAATGGTTTGTTTTTGGTTTATCGTAAGCACACTGCATTGCAATAATGACTCCAGTCGTGATTAAAATAAATGATTCTGAGCAAATGTATCCAGTATATTTGAAAACGTGACTATGGAAACGAGAGAATTCAGGAAACCAATGGTGCCTTGTCAGTGTCATAGAATGTAAACATTACGAAAAGATCACCATGGTAGCCATAGTTCCCGCTTAAATGCAAAAGTTGATATTGTAAAACCATAATAAATAAATGTAAATGCTGTTTATTAGGACAAGCCAGAAGATTTTTGTTGTTTTGGTTTATAAGGTATTTTAATTACATTGATGGTTAATGCATACAAATATATTTACTGATGTAATGTTATTAATGTAATACTTTTTATTGTAGTAATAGCTGTAGTTATTATTGCATTTTGGTAAGAACTGTTATTTCTTACCAATGCAATTTTTCAGCTATGAAAATTATTTGTTTTGTTTTTTTGTTTTTTTGTTTGTTTGTTTTTTTAGATATGTTGCATTCTTAAAAAAGATAGGTCTAAATGTATAATCTGCTTTTCTCTACAAGTGCCAGGGAGGGATTCCAGCCATGGAGAAGACAGCATCGGACACGGCAAAGAAGACAACCACTGCTACCTTTTCCAAAGAGTGTCTGGAACCAGTCTTGAATAAAGACTTGGATGACTCTGATTGTAAGTAACGCCAAGATGCATTCCCTTTGCCCAGATTTTTGCCACATTGCTAAAAGACAAAGCCAGTCAATCTGTAGATATTGGGCATAAGTTGTAGTGTATGATGATCACATACTCTGATTTATTTATTATGATTCCATATTTTTGCTCTATCCATTTACAAAGTTGTCAAGTGTATGATGCCTAGTATTTTAAAATCTGTTCAGATTTGAGCAGTCGTGTAATGTATTTCAGCCTTAACTCTAATAAATTGACAGTTTAAGATGTATTCTTTCAAGAGATAGTTCACCCAAAAATAAAATGCTGTCTGTATTTACACTTATGTTATTCTAAAACTGCCAGGAACTTTTTTTTTCGTTGGGTGATCAGCATTGATTGGTTTATCAGTCCCACCAGGATTATTTTCAGATTTTTGCAGCCTAAAATGAAGAGAATCAGAATTAGCGGAAGCTTTTCTCAAATTTCGGCGATACTTGTGCATTTTTTGTGCAGCGGAAACTCGCCAATAATCATGATGCACTTATGTAATTGGTGTTAGTGACTGTAAGAGTAGAATTACCTGTAAATATATATGTGTGTAATTACTGAAATTCTATGCAGTGGTGACACTAGCATAAACATGCTCATATTTTTGCTTTACTGAAAACACACAAACATACAGTTTGCACATTGTCACTGAATCAGTAAGTATAATGCATATTCAGTCCAATAATAAATGTACTTGTTTATTGCTGAAATCAGGCATTATGGGACTAGCAAATACTCACCCCAATATACAGTACATTATATTCCTTATCACATATTGTGGTTTAATAGTATCATTAACGTCTTGAAACTTTCAACTTTCACTAATTTCATTTTTAGGGAGCTTTTTATTTAATGCAGAGTTGGCTTGATTTTGCATTACATTCTGTGATCGCAAAATCTTCAAATCCTGGCGGGACTGTTGTATTTATGTCACAGTCAAAGAAACAATCAGGAAAACTGGACAAAACATGCTGTCAAATATTAGTTTATATTCCATTCTGGTGTCATGACATTGTTTATTCGATCTCACTTTTTTACAGTAGGCATCCATAGTTGTGAGTTTTGTGGGAGCAATTTTGAATCCAGACGAGGTCTCTCCAGTCATGCCCGGTATCATCTGAGGCAGCTGGGAGTGTCTGTGTCCGACAGCAGTGGAGCTCCTATAGACCTTCTGTGCCAGCTGATGAAAGAAAGAGGCGGAACTCTACCCAAGCTCAAAAAACAAGCCAGCCCTGTTAAAAAATACACACCCCAGTCCCACAAACTGAAAAAGGACACTGGACCCAGATTAAAGATTAAAATATCCAACCTTGTAAAGAAAAAATATGCTCTTTCCTCATCTTCCCCCTCTGCTGTCAAAGGATCAGCAGCTTCTGGTCACTCTTCTTCGCCTTTTGCTGTAGGGAAGCCTCATAAAGCATCTTCAAAGAAGATTTTGGTGTCCACTCCATCTTCAGCCTTGTCTCCTCTCAAGGCTGTTGAACCCAGGCTCATTGATGGCATCCCACCTACCTCCCTCTCACTGGCCTCAGCCAAGCCCCTCTGGGCCCCTCAGGAAACAGACGCTCCTCTCAATTTAAGTAAGTAACAGTATTAAAAATGTATTGGTATGTGCATGGAAGTGGGATCCATTTAAAAAAAAAAAATTTTACAATTCACTGAAGCAAGCTAGTTAAAGGGATACTTCACCTCTGAAAAGATGAATGTGTATATAAAAAAGGTCATTTATGTAGAAGAAATTTTGAATTTGAAGCTTTCTAGACTGAGAAAAGCCAGAAAATGTATTTTTGGCTTATGTGGATGAAAGACAACAACTCTCAGAATGCACTTGCTTCACTGCCTTAGGATGCTGCAGTAGTTAAACAGCAAGTCTAGGCTACTAGTGAGTCTCCGCAATGAGTCTGCCCGAAAATGTCAGGGTTCCAGACTGCGACCATTTTTTGAGAATGTGCGAGTTAAAATTTGATGTGGTCGCATATGTGCGAGTGGACGCTCGCGCAAGAGAACGCCGTTGTATCAGCTGCTGCAGTCCGTAACTTATGTTCAAAATGAACGAGTAGGCTACATCATGAATCCATTTTCCAAACCGTGATTTTATCCCGGGGTCGACTCGGATGACCCCGGCTGAACGGAGTTGCCAAGTGCCTGCTTGACTCGCCATAGATATTAATGGAGAGAAGTAGCTCCGGCTACAGTGTTCTTCCGCAAGACACGTGCAGTTTATTTATTGACGAACGTAGACGTCACGCGCATTGCACACTGATGGTGGAACGCGCCAATTACGAATGAACAAATTAAGGCATATAAAAATTAAAATGTCTCACGAAACAGTGCGCCCCTTCCTACGTCTTTTCGCCGGTTAGATGAGAGTAATCGCTCGACAGAGGAAAAGGAAATTATTATAAAATGCAGAAGGTATGAGTGTGAGATTTCTGATTTTTGTTACAACTATAAACTTTGATAACGAAAAATCTGTATTAGCTTATTATAATACTCTAATCTTTTAAAATGGAATGCATATATTTAAGTGTTTAATGATTTTTAAAAGATAGAAAGATGATGCTGATAGAAAGATGATGATAGACAGATAGATAGACAGATAGACACTGAAGATTATGATTCAAATGTAAATGGATAGATTGTATATAATGCAAATGTAAAATGCTTAAAATTGCAGATTAAAATTACTGTCCAAAATCCATGAAAATCCTGAAATTTGGC